CCATAAAGCCATGTTAAAATGAGCCAAGAAATGTTGCTGTTGGTGTGTATGGTTCAGAACTCCAGAGCCGTTAGTGGCTCCTGCCTTGGAACACAAATGCAGTAAATCTGATGCCAAATCATAGAATACCAGTTGAATGAAAATCAATCAATACCATGTTGGGGAGAGGTGGAAGAATCCATCAGGCTTTCCATCTTAGTGTTCTGTTCTGGATTTCAATATGTTCCTTTTAATTCTAGCATTTTCATTGTTATTCTAGGTATAATCTCCCTAGACCATTTTCAGATCATTCAGATCTGTATATACAGTGTTAATTCTGAGTAGATGTGGAATATATATGAATATATACGTAGATTCCATTTTAATCAGACTACATGTACTTGTACCGGACAGTGTGATACTGAACCATCTTCTTTGCTCAATTTTAACTTTCATGGTGTAAAGGCTTTGAATTATAATCACTCTGTGAACCAGTAAAATAAGCTGTTATGAAAAGGTAGAGGTGTAAGGCCCTAGTTGGCTTTCAGAAATGTTTATTGGTGTCCAATTAGATTACTACTCTAAATAAAAACATTTGTTTTCCAAATTAATTTAAAAATCAGAATTGGCACCAACTACTGTGTAATATCTCCAGTAACAGGATCTGCCTCAGTAAGGGAAAAATTGTCCTCTGATTACACAGCTGTACTTGGTTTCAAGCTGAAAGTCTGCTCTCACTACGCATACAGATGTCTGATACCAAAATGATTTCCTTCTGTGCATGGCAGGGGAACAGAATGTTAATGCCAAATACCACCATAAGAAAACAATTTATACTGTCAGTATATTCCACTTTCAAAATTGTGGGAAGACTAAACCCACTTATAACAAAAATGCTGGCTGAACTATAATTATAATTATAGTGTTAGACATAGCAATAATTAAAGACCAGGATCAATAGCTGTCAAGTGTCTGCAGGTGCTATAAACATTACTTTCATATGAAGATATGAAAGCTGAAAAGATCACTTAAAATCTAGTTTTAAATGACAATGCTAATGGAACTATATTTTAGCCAGAGAAGAATCTGCTATTTAAAGTGAAAGACAGATGAAGGAGCACCAGCTTGAACTGAAAATAAACCCCTTATTTGCAAAGAAATGGATGAGTTGATCATAGCATTTCTTCACTGCTGTGTATTTTATCATTATCATTTAGTTGAAAAATTTACAGTATGGAATTTACACTTGCCTTTTTTCAATAATTGAATTGCCACTTCTATGTATGACACATTTATTGAAAATAAATGATTAAAAATACAAATTAGACACATCACTTTTATTAAGATAAATACCCATGTTAGCTGTACTTCTTTTTATTATTGTCTTCACAAATCTTATGTTTTAAGTTCTTTGCCTTTTTTTTAATTCATCTGTGTTTTACTCTAACCTTTTCCAGGTCTTTCTCTTTAGAACTGTTTTGGGGTTTTTTGCACTCATTAATTTTTTATATTGGTTTGCAATGGATATTTTGTGAAAGTGATGGCCATTGTATTTAATATTTAAATTGAATTTTTCAGATTCTTTTCCTCTTTCTCTGAGACCTTTTTTATTGATTATTTTCAGATATGCTGGAGAGCTTTACATAGAAGGGGTTTTTAATAGCAAAAAACAGTTTAATAAAAAAAATTTAAAGGGGGGGGAGATGAAATGAAGAGGGAGAGAGAGCTGGACAGGCTTTTGGAATTTGTTTTACTCTGATGCATATTAGTGATATTACCTCAAACACCTTATCTCTCCAGTGTACCACAGTGACAGTTATAAGTGGAAAATTGAATTATTTGGAACTTCAGTTGCCTTCTGATTGGCTGTTTTTTAAATTTAATTAATTTAAAATAAAATTTTACTGCACTTCTATGAATAAATAGTTTTTACTTTTTTTTCCTTAAAATTTTATATGTAAAGGTCACAGCCATTCAGCAATCTGACAGGATAAAATCCATTCAGTTTAATGAGAATTTTATAGAAAATACCTATTTTTATTGCTCATGAGTATTTTTATAATTTTCTTGTGGCAACAGTTATAGGCATTTATGAAATTTTTCTTGGCTCACAGCCCAAACTATTGAATTTAATTGGGCGGGGGGGAAATGTTCAGGTTTTTGTGCTATGACATATCCAGTTTTGCTGAGTGACAGCTCCTGTAGCATTCCCCTTCCTTCATCTGCACAGTGCTAGGTTGTATACTAGTATAGCAGGTCTAAAGAAGAATCTGCATGAGTGACTTTTTTTTTCATATGTTGTATTCCAGCATCTACGGGTAACAGTAAAATCACTTATGTCAATGGGTACTCCATGAGCAGGAGGATATATACCTACATGCAGAAGTAGGCAGGAATGGGGCCTAGGTTTGCTAAAACTCTAACTTGATGTCTAATTCTGCTTCCACAGAAGTCCAACATCAAAATTCATCCTGACTTCAGTGAAACCAGAATGCAATTGTTAGTGTGATCTTTTGATTTTTTTTTAAATGGTTGATTATTCAGTAAAGGTGGACTGGAACTTAACTGTTTAAGTCCTGACATGACTTAGCTTCATACAGAGTGCAGAATTCAGTAAATATTATTGGCTTTCAGCCCTTCTTCTGCACCTAGGACATGACCTGCACCCTTTAAAATATATTATTTTTAGATTAAAAGCTATGTTTATACCAACAATTGTATTTTATTTTAGAGAGGCACCATTGACTCAAATTCCAAAATATAGTTGGGATGTAAACAGAAATGTGACCTTTCAAAAAAACCACCAGAAAAGGTTGTTCTTAAGTATTTCCAGGCAGTGGAAGCAAAACATTACAGCATTCAGAAGCTGAAAGCCGAGCCAGTCAAAATTTCACTAATTTTTTTGTTTTTGTTTTTCACCCAAGATCTTTTCATTGAAAAATTTCTACCAGCTTTACCTGAAAGTTAATTTGACTTCATTATTATTGTCCAGGCTGGAAAAAAAATTAAGTAAACAAAGTATATATAGTAAATAAAAAAACTAGATTTAAAAGAAAATTCCGTTTTAATAATCTAGGGGAGTGGTTCTAGTAACATAAAACTTGTCAGTGTCTCTTCATGCAGACCATTAAGGAATCCTTAACAGTTTACAAAATACCATTAATAACTTAAAAACTAATTTTAAAATATTTATTTGTTAATAGGATGAATAACTGAGTAGTGTCATTTTGTTCTTAAAGGGGTACAGTCTGGTGTATTGTTATTTATTACTAATACATATTAGTATATTACTAATAACCTAAATTTCAGGTCTAAAGTCTGACTAGACAATGGCCCTTTAATACAACATACAAATCTGGAACAATCGAGTAATTCATGTACTTTGAATGTAGCATTGGTTTTGCATTGCAGCACTCTATGTAAAGTGTTCAGGTATCACTTCTTACATACATGTAGTAAGTACTGGAAAATGTCCATTTCTGCTCCTCTCAAGCCTCCCTCCAAAATTCTCTCTTTGTACTAGCCTATGCTATGGAAACTGTATACTAAAAACCATCACTGCTAGCATGGCTTAGTTGTATTGTGTATAGTTTTAAAACAATGTTTTAAGGCTATACCAGTTCCACTGTCGTGGCACAACTAGTTAACCTGAAGCTGTTCTTGAAAAGTGTAGTTTTTGGAATGTAGGTGTAACCTGAACTGTTTTCTGTCACTCTTGGTGCTGCATCTCTCTCCTGTGCCTGAAACTACATCATATTCACACACTCACAACAAGCAGCGTCCCTTTTTCTCCTTTAGGTTCTTAGAATGTACTTTTGCAAAGCCTTCAGTGTTCATCTCTTCAATCTTGTCTACTCCATTTTGTGTTTTGAGCTGTTATACTAGTGTTCTGTTCTAAACAACATACAGATCGACTTCAGTGGAACTCACTTAAGCAATCAGTTAACAGGCTTCTTAAAATACTCCTTCACAAGAGACAGAAATGCACATGTTGGGCCAGAACCTCAGCTGCAGGCAAGCAGCATCAGCATAACTTGGCAGGGGGACAGAAGTGGAGACAACAGAGGCTTTCAGAGGCTACTTGCTCTAAACCAGCCCCCCAGTTTAAGAACAGCCTTGAGCCATCTACCAATGACCCCAAGGGACTGGTACTGCAACTGGGGAGCTCTGTGGCATCCTGGTCATGCCCATCTTTCTCTGGCCACACCCATTGCAGTAGTGGCTGGGAGGGATGTGTGATTAAAAATTGCTACAATAATATGCAAAGATCCCACTACTCAGGGAGATCATCTTGTAGCTGGGTAAATTAGCTTTTAAGACAAGTTTGCACAAATTGAGTGGTGAAAGGTTGCCCTAATGAAGGGGGGAATCTGAAGTTATTAATACTGTATTGATGTTAATATTGTTCCCTACAGAGCCCAGAAAATGTCACATTATTGTTGAGGTGGCCTCTTTTTGTTGTTTTATCATCAATCTGACAAGCAATTGTTGATGATGACTTTTTCCCCCAACTATGAAATATAAAAGTTTTCATATAGAAATATTTGAATTTTCATGCTATGCCAAATAAGGGCGAGAGATTAGCACCATGTAATAAAAGTTTTGGGTGAGCTTAAAACCTGAGAGCAGAGTCCCCTGAACCCTGTAATTTAGTTTTTTATTTTTTTACATATTTTTATATCGGCTAGTTGTTACTTGAAAACTTTTGTTTACTTTCCAAAGACTAAAAATGCATGAAGTGTCAGAAGCCATGTTAGTACACATGTATGATCATGGCATCTGCATTAAGCCATGTTAGTGCATGTCTGTGATTATGGTGTAAACCACCCAAGTTGACCCTTTTGAATTCAAACTGTTTTGGAATATGTACACATTCTAGAACAGAAAGTACAATATTGGCTGCACACTGAAATCCAGTGAGTTTTGGTTTCGGTTTGTGGAATAGTCTTTTGTTTCTTCTTCTTTTTTTTTTTTAACGTCTTTGCCTTAAGATATTCCTGATTTTTTTTTTTCATTCATAGATCGAAATACTAAAGAAAAAGATCAAGCAAAAGGAATTGTTTATAATGCAGCTTCTAGAAAAAATCTCTTTCCTAGAATGTGAGGTAAGGACTTAAATTAGCTTTACTCTTTTAAGGGTTAAAATTGATTTGATGTGATTTACGAGAACTGTTAGAGTTGGAGCTATGCTGTCTGATGTTTTATTTATGTAAATTCACTGTATGTAGTAACTGGTCTTGAATATGGAAACAGAAATATCTGTAACATCAGGATCATCATGAATGCATGTAATAAACAAATAATCTTCACATTCATGTTGAACTTCTGTAACATAGTTATGCATTTACACTATAGAGACATTTAAAAAATCTAGCATTCTGTATGTAGGGCATTGATTGACTTGTGTTTTTACGGTCACAGTAACTTTATTTTCCAAAATTTTTGTGTATTCTAAATAATAATTTTGGAATGTTGATGAAGAAAGCCTTATGCTGGACTTTATTAATTTAAAAGAGAAAATACAATGTTAATGAGCTAAAATCATTAAAACATATTTGTCTTCTCGGAAAATGCAACTTGAAAGGTCATGAAGAAAATCCTTCTTTTCCAGAATAAAGAATTACAAGACAGGTTGGACTACTTAATGGAAACCCAGCCAAGGACTAATGTAGAAACAAGAGAGATCGGAGTAGGATGTGATCTTCCATCCAGGTATTCAGAGCTTCAGATAATTTACTGGAAAGGTTCTCCACAGAAAATCACTGTCAATAAATCTATCCAGAATATGGATTTGGAACAACAGCACTTATATCTACCAACAGTAATTTCTCAAGAACTTATCTGCAGCCTAATGGCTAATGTACTTTTATTTAATGATCTTTTTCTTCATGGCATACAGAGTGGTGTGTAGCATGGAAATGGTATTTACCATTGACTTAATTTCTGACACCTACAACAAACATGTCTCTTTCCTTTAAATGATGGAGCATGGTAGAGGCTCCTGGAGTATTTAACTACAAAAGGGTGAAATGAGCAGGGAGTTAAACCTAGGCCCCCTAGAGTTCCACCTTTTGGGGGGATATCAAATAACTGTTCTTGTGACCTATAGGAAAAATAGTGTTCAAGTTTTCCTACTGTGAGTGCAGCAGAACATAGCTGCAGAACTTTAGCACTTCAGTTGGGTTGCGTAAAGTATGTTAGGCAGTACTGGAATTTGGCTGCTCCATAATTCAGATTAGGCTAATGTTGTGTATTCGTAACATACATGGTCCATCACTATTTTAAAAAGTCAGTGTTAGCTTAAAATTGCTAGATATTATTTGAGATACTACAGGAACCTAATATAGGAAATAACGTATTGTTGATCACTGTTTGCAGTAAGAGCTCCTCTGAAAGCTATTACAATATAACTATTAACATATTAACTGTTGGACTATATGCATGTAGCTAGGTGAATCCTGTTACAAGCCTGACCAATGCAAGCTTCAGGGGTGGGAGGAAAAAGTGGCAACTCCTTCTGAAGGTTGAGTAGTGGCAGTAGAGCTCCTTTTAAGGCTGCTGTAGTTCTTCTACATGCCCCCAGCCCTGCATGGGGATTGGCCACTGGATCTGCTTAGTTTTGTTTTATCTCCTGAGCCTGCATCTAAACTGCTTTATTTTCTTTGAGGGGAAGGGTGTCTTCACAGCCCATTTGTATGGGCTACACTCTCTCTCTCTTACATGCTCCACTGGAACCATGTTAGTTCTTCTATAACCAAGGCTCCGTGCACTTGCATCAGGAGGGGGACAGAACTTGCTCAAAACTCACTTAAAATAAAAAGTAGTAATTGTCCATGAACAATAAAGCCCAATAGCGTTGCCATTTTTAAAATGCCCAGCAGTACAATAATCCATTTTAACAGCCCTGCAAAGTAAATATTTAATTTTGAGGAATGCAAGTAGGCACATGAAATCAGTAAACTATCTTGTCTAATATAATTTGCCCTCATAATATAAAAACTACCATGTCCGTTTTTCAGCTTGTTTGGCAACTTTGAGCCTAGAGTGTAATTTAATGGCACTATGAAGCTAACAAACCCTTCTTTGTGGTGCTTCTTGGCGCCCCTTTAGATCTCAAAGCAGCCTTTGCATAGCTTTCAGATTTCTCCCATTCTTTAAATTTATCTGTGACATCTACCTGGTTTAGTTTTCATGAAACTACGTTTTTACAGTCAACTTTATTTTTTAATTCCATGTCACTAGTTTTTATGGCTTTAGGGAGACTTCAGCATGCTAAATTAGAGCACCTGTGTTGGTATATATTCTAATATGTGATTTGTTGATGCTCACATCCCAAACTTGCTATTATCTGGCATAAGATTACCAAGAGTTCTTCGTGACATTTAAAAAGACATCTGGGGTGTATCTAATGTGCATTACAGCTTCTAGAGCTAGTATCAAAAAGAACCTTCAGTACATAAACTTCACTGCAAAGAACTTGTGTCTAGCTGCCCAAATTGACATGTCAAGCAAAACAAGTTGAACCCCACAGACTTTGACAGTTAAAATGTCTTTCCATCTCTTAGCAGTACAAACATCGACAGCAGAAGGTCTCCTGAAACTTCAAGACCTGTGAGGACGTACACCCCATTCAAGAGAGTCCTGGAGTTTAGTGTGAAGAATAATACATCTTAAACACGCAAGTCAATGCATTCCTTACAAATAAGCAAGTGCCTTGTGCAGCTTGACGTCTGATAAGAATTAAGCTAAGCAGCCACAGAGAAGACCAGCCGCAGAGAGTCTTGCTCAACATTTTCTGTGTGCAACTTTTTAGTAGCTCCATATCTGAAGTTGCTACTGACATTAGTGTTTTGCATGGGGTTTTGGAAGAAGAGCAGATTGAAAATGCAATCTGTATTGCTTCTTGAGAGGAAGCTGTATAGTGCAATTTTACATATTTCAAACACATTGAAGGAGAGACTGTTGTACAGTTGTATAGTTTTTCTGATTGTGTGTTGTAAATCTTTTTGTAAAATGAAGCTGTAATTTATTTTATTTTCAATCTAATATAATTAGGTGTAAAATCTATAATTCTCCTGCAAAAGGGTGTTGATTTGCAAGCCATCTCTTTTCTTCTTGGATGGGTCACCTGTTACAGTCCTAAGGGCTCTGTTTGCCCAAAAAAGATTCACCAGTATCCAACATTCTTTTGCAGAATGTTTACAGCGGAGTTGTGTACCTTAGGTAACTATCAAAGAACTTGATCCTACAAACACTTGCTAATGAACGTATTGCTTACTACTCTCAGGAGTAAGCACTAAAGCGTCACTGCTTTGTTGGATTGAGACCTCCGTTTCTACTACAGTTAGCTGTAAGCAATTATATTCAGTGATAAATGTTTGTAGAATCAGGACCAAGTCTTGTAGTCAAGGCCCTACATTTGGATTTGGATTTGTTCTTGGTCCATTTTGCCCCAGAAACAGGAATGATAACTACAGAGCAGAATTTTGCCTTCAAAGGCAGTAGCTGCATTATTCTATTATGTGATTTTGGATTCTGATTCAGAAGACCATTTCTTCAAAATTTGGCTTAACATCTCATGCCCAGCTTCCATGTACCAGCAGAAATTACTCCATCTGCTCTACCTGCGAGTATTTTAATACAGAGATGATTTTTCACACCCTGTTTATAATCCCAGAATTTAAAAAACAATGCTAATTTTATTTTTAATGTTTTCTTATGGTTTTATTAAAATTAGTTTTTAAACAGAGTAACTTTATATTATAGTCACAGCTGCGTTTTATTTTTAAAAATGTACTGTTACTTAATGTTGCTCCAGCATTTCATATTATTACTGGACGACAATAGGCATGCCTCAGGGTTTCACAAAATGAATGTGTTCCCCAACCTTAACCCAAGATTTTAAACTTTGGCACCAGCTGTAGAAACAAAGTAAGAGGTCGTGTTTTTAATTAAAATTATCAATAATCTACATGTAATAAATGCCTTGCTTACTCCCAAGTTTTTCATGTTTTTGGATGCTTGTTAGAGAAGTTTGTCTTGAAATTGCACTTTGTAACTGGCAAATAAAATAGCACATTTTGCAGTATGGAATCACAAGTGTCTGCATTGGTGTGGATAGTTTGGAACACTTGCAGAAACAATAATTGTTCGAAGAGACCAAAGCAATGGAATGGAATATCAACTAAGGCACCAATTCTGCAAGTTCATATACACAGTAGATCTCACTGTGTGTGTGAATCTGCAGAGGTAGGGCCTAGTGAACCTGGACTTCAGCTTCTGAACACTGAAAGTGTTCATTTTCTAAAAAGCAAAGTTCAGTATATTAAGTGTTTGTTTCCTCCCCCACCACACAAAAAAAAATCAAGGAATGTATAAATTACTTCAAATACAGTTGGATGGAGATCTGTATAATATCTGCTTATCTAAAGTGTTTTATTTTAATCTGTGCTACCATAGAAGTAGCTCTTAAATGTTTGTTTTAAAAAAAAATCCTAAAATACTGATTCTACATTAATGCCAGTGAAGGGATAAATCTGTTTCTCGTAGTGAAAAGGCATAGAAATCGCTCCACTGGCAAAGGGCCTGAAGACAAGCCCCCCTACTTTTTATGAAAAATGGGTTACTTTCTATAGACCCCTGAAATGAGGAGCTATATTTATACTGCAAACCAGAGGAATTGTCATGTGACCAGGTAGCAAGTACACTGAAACTACTCACACCCTGAGATCAGTGGTAACTGTTGTTTTAATCTTGTGTGGAGGATCTTTCCTTGAATTACACTGTGGTGCCTGAGACTTGGTGCCCTGGTGGTTTCTGAAAGACTAAGCTGGCTGAACTGGGCTTCTACCATCTTACAGCCAGTTTGAAATTTATCAGAATTATAAATGAGAAATGAAACTATTGGCAGGATCTTCAAATACATTAATATGTGCCAGAGATGATGATGAGAGAAAAGGTGGGTAAGATAATATCTTAAACTGGACCAACTTTGGTTCGTGAAAGACAAGCTTTCGAGCTACACAGAACTCTTCTAATGGTGGTTGATTTTTCTATACCCAATGCATATATGCAAAAAGAAAAGGAGTACTTGTGGCACCTTAGAGACTAACCAATTTATTTGAGCATGAGCTTTCGTGAGCTACAGCTCACTTCATCGGATGTATGCATACATGCATGTATACATGCATACATCCGATGAAGTGAGCTGTAGCTCACGAAAGCTCATGCTCAAATAAATTGGTTAGTCTCTAAGGTGCCACAAGTACTCCTTTTCTTTTTGCGAATACAGACTAACACGGCTGTTACTCTGAAAAATGCATATATGGTATGCTTGCCTAGTGCATGTGATCATGACTCCCTCTAGCGGCTGATAGCAGCAATCATTCAGACTATTTCATAACTTAGCCTGATTTACACTAAAAAGTTATGTCGACCCAGCTAAGTCACTCAGGGGTATGAAAAATCCACACCCCTGAGCCCTGGTCTACACTAGGACTTTAGGTCGAATTTAGCAGCGTTAAATCGATGTAAACCTGCACCCGTCCACACAATGAAGCCCTTTATTTTGACTTAAAGGGCTCTTAAAATCGATTTCCTTACTCCACCCCCGACAAGTGGATTAGCGCTTAAATCGACGTTGCCGGCTTGAATTTGGGGTACTGTGGACACAATTTGATGGTATTGGCCTCCGGCAGCTATCCCAGAGTGCT